GGGGGGGGTTGGGAGGAAGGGGGGGTCCGGTGTAACTGTCTCGCTCATGCTCCTGCGTGCATTCACGCGCTCACTCCCGCTCTCGCTCGAGCTGCTCCAGCTGCTTCATGAATCCTGCGTTTGGCCGCGCGCACGGCCGCGTCCGCCTGACCAGCTCCAGCGCCGCCTGCACCCCCAGCCCCGGCTGGGTGCGGAGCAGGTAACCGATGGCCAGTGCCACACTGCGCGACTGGCCGGCATAGCAGTGCACCAGCACGCCGCCGCCCTGTGCGCGCGCCGCAGCGATGAAATCAACAACGTCGGGGAGGGCGCTGAGCAGGTCGGCCTCCTCGTCGTCGAAGAGCGGGATGGTGAGGTAGGTGACTGCGCCTTCCGGAACGTCGCGGAAGAAGCAGGGGACCACGGGGGAGGCATTGACGACGTGGGTGATGCCCGCCTTGCGCATGGCGCGCAGGTTCCGGGCCGCTCCGATGCCACCTGCGGAGGAGTTGGACGGGGTGGTGGGGGACTGGACATGCAGGGGCCTATCAGGAAACATTTCAGTGTCCGCACTCCAGCGTCATGGGGGCCACCATGAGGGGCTTCATGAGATGCATGGATGTAAATTCAAGATAGATTGGATGCAAATTGGGATGCGCCTCCAATGGACACCCCAGACAACCTCAGGGAGATGTCCACCGAAGTTCATATCAACACCCCATCCTACAAGCACCTGTCCATCCTACAAGCACCTGTCCATCCTACAAGCACCTGTCCATCCTACAAGCACCTGTCCATCCTACAAGCACCTGTCCATCCTACAAGCACCTGTCCATCCTACAAGCACCTGTCCATCCTACAAGCACCTGTCCATCCTACAAGCACCTGTCCATCCTACAAGCACCTGTCCATCCTACAAGCACCTGTCCATCCTACAAGCACCTGTCCATCCTACAAGCACCTGTCCATCCTACAAGCACCTGTCCATCCTACAAGCACCTGTCCATCCTACAAGCACCTGTCCATCCTACAAGCACCTGTCCATCCTACAAGCACCTGTCCATCCTACAAGCACCTGTCCATCCTACAAGCACCTGTCCATCCTACAAGCACCTGTCCATCCTACAAGCACCTGTCCATCCTACAAGCACCTGTCCATCCTACAAGCACCTGTCCATCCTACAAGCACCTGTCCATGCATACATCCAGCAAGCTTCCCCCCCCTCGCCAGAATACCACGGTGCATACCTACGTAAAGGCCTTTGAGAACTCTGCAGGGCATGCGGTCCTGCTTGGCCCCCGCACGGATTGCCTGTAATTTGGAGATGGCCAATCGCACATCCAGCTCTTGCCCCTGTGGTTCCTGCTGGAACAGAGGGACAGGACTGAGCGGCCCAGGACACTCATTGGTACAACAAATAAATGTCACACATCAGTCCATTCGACACCACAGCCACATGACCATGCTCACCTCGTTGTCTTCGAGTCCGTGCCAGAGCTCCACGCGCTCCCCAGCGAGCGTCTTGACATGAATCTTCTGTACGGGTCGCAGCCCAGCTTTGCGGTCGAAAGTCCTCACATCTGCGAGGAGAGCCGCCTGGGCTTGTGCCCAGCCACGCGGGGGAGACGTCATCGCCGGGCAGGGTGGGAAGCCTGCCGACGAGGAAGGCTCGAGGGGTCACAGCCAAGGCATTCACAAGCTCCCACACGGAATGCGCTCCGAGCCAGGTCGCCTCTCAGGAAGTGATCTACGGATTCAAAATTATATATAACGTGGGTGTCGAGGTCTGCATTGTTGCCCTCTTATCCGACATCGCGTGTTTCTGTCGGAAGTCGCACTTTCCAGGCGGGTGCCGAGGCGGAGGGCGCGCAATCTGCAAGGGATTCTTCCGCATGGGCGACCACAGGACGCCAGCAGGGATGAAGCAGACCCTTACCCAGCTCATCCACGCCAGTCAGATGCTATAGTTCACCATGGTCCTGAATGCAATGGCTTTCCTGACAGGGACGGGCACCAGCACCCACATTTTCAGCCCTGCCACTCCACAGGTATGTGACAAGAGTACCACATGTGCACGCTCGCTGACCCACCATCGTGGCCATCGACCTCCTCACCACCTGCCTGGGATCCCATGCATGTCTTCAAGCCCCTCTCTCCGCAGCATTCCCCTCGACGGTGTCGGAGCGCTGGCCGGCAGGTCCAGGCATCTGCCCATGAAGTGCCATCCGGCCCCACCCGGCGCCAGCTGGTGCAGGCCGGACTCCTCTCCACGCTAGCCCTGCAGCTGCTTCCCAGGTGAGGTGGCATGATCTCGTTGGCGGGAGTCCTGACTTCTTAAGCTCGGTAAAGTCGCTTGCATGGAGCTCTGCATCCCCTCCCGTGAATACTCCCATGGCAGGCAGGCGGAGGCCAGCCTGGACTCAAAGGTCTTATGCGACGCCGACTGTGCTGCCAGCTTGGCCGACAAGGAGCGTGTGCGCACCGCCTCGGGCCTGGAGTACATCGATCTCGTCCCAGGCAAGGGGCCCAGCCCTCGCATAGGCTTTCAGGCGAGTGCCGGGCCCCGCCACGCTGGCCCCCAGGGGCCCTGGCTGGTCGGTGCGGTGGTTACTGTGGTCACAGCCATGATCTACAAGTGTTTGTGCTGATCGTGTGTTCAAACATCCCCCACCCCTTGGCAGACCTCCACCCAAACCCCTCTCCCCATCATGTCACCCTCCATTTCCCTCGCATCATGTCACCCCCCCCCTTGCCCCACATCATGTCACCCCCCATCCCCCCCCTACCCCCCCACCCCTTTGCATGCCCATGCAGGTGGTGTGCGACTACGTGGCCAGCACCCCCCAGGGCGCCGTGTTTGACAGCTCCTTGGACAGGGGGGCACCCTACATCATCCGCGTGGGGGCCGGCCAGATCGTGGCGGGGCTGGACGAGGGCCTGCAGAGCATGAAGCTGGGGGGCGTGCGGCGCCTGTATGTCCCCGGCCTACTGGCCTTCCCCAAGGGCCTCTCTGCCGCCGCGGGCAGGTGAGGGGAACGGTCTGGCATGCCTCTCGCACGGTGGTGGAGGATGGCCTGGGGTGCAGAGCTCGGCCGGTGTCAGGCCGCCGCTCATGCTGCTCCCTGGCTCGCCTTCCATGCTTATTCAGCAACTCAGCCCACTCTGATCCCGTTTCCCCTCCCTTCCTTCATGTACAGGCCGCGGGTCCCACCCGCCTCCCCCGTCGTGTTTGACGTCTCCCTGGTCATGATCCCCGGTCTGGAGGATGAGGAGGAGGAGTGACGGCCCGCCTGCCTGCTGCCATGCTGGAAAACCGACCCCGGCAATGATGGTGTAATGCCTCTGGCCTTGCACGCTGCTTGCCAGCCAGGCAGGGGGATGCGCATCAAGTGGAAGGAGGGAGCATGGCTAGCGCCGACCCGGACACGCGCACTGCGCCCGCAGAGTCGGTGAGCTGGGTGTCAAAGGTCAGTCGCCGGCCGCTGATGCGCGACACCGTCACGGAAGCCAGCATCGGCTCGGACACCTGAAGGGTGTGGAGGAAAGCAGGCACAAGAAGTTGCGGGGAGGGTTGCTCGACGCAGCGATAATCGCCTGACTCCCCGTGGCGGACAGGTGGCCGAGGAAGATGCAAGCGTGCTGTCATTGGTCTGATTGGGACTCCGGAACGTCACGCTCGGTGCGCACTGCTTCTAGCGTACTGTGCGTCACCTCGCCAAGCCTCCAGCCGCCAGCCCTCACCTGGACTGGCGCCCGAAACTTGAGGGTCTGCGTGAGGTAGAGCGCGCCGGGAACGGCGCTGCCGATGAGGGCGGGGAAGAGGGAGGCGGCCATGATACCCGGGACGAGGCATCGCTCGAAGCCGGCGGCCTGCGCGGCTGGCAGGGACTGGTGGATGGGGTTGGTGTCCCCCGTCAGCCTCACAAACGCCGCCACCTCAGAGGGGCCAAAGGCGACGGCACGCTGCAGGGTCGCTCCCAGGCCGAGGTCTGGGCCTGCACCAGTGGCCAGCCGCCGAGCCTGGGCGCCTCTGGCATGGCCGACCAGCCCGCACAGTCGCCTGAGGGTGATATAGCGTGCATGGCGTGGTGTGGGAGATGGATGACGCACCGCTGCTGCACCATACTCTGCTGCCTCCTCCTCTGTCCACCCAACAGATTGGGTGTGCCGAGAACCTCTCTTGACCCCATTCTACCTTTGCCACATGAGGGCGCAGCGTCACGGTGCACGCGTGGACACCGCGAGCTGGTAGTCCCGCAACTCCGCCCGCTCCTTCGTGCACTTGTTGTAGCCTGCAGGACTTGCACCCAGGGGTGGGTTCTGTTTCGGAGCAACACCGCCCGACGACACCTCGGCGCCAACTTCCCTTGCACCACCTCACCGTTGAGAAGGTCCAGCAGTGTTCCAGAGAGTCCCAAGTAGACCAGGGGGTTGTAAGACTTGAGTCGCACCCCGATGGGGATGGCCAGGCCCACCCCTGCCACGCAGTAAAACCAGCTGGAGTCGAGGACACACCCTGCCAGAGCCTGTTGCAGCTCCTTCTCCCGATCGTCCGACATCTGAAAAGTTTAAATCTCGCCAGACCAAGCGTGACGCATTACGACTTCGCCCATGGGGGGGCGCATGCTCTCGGCGCGATGTGCGCCATGATGTGCATGACGGGCACGGACCTCCGTCATGCAAATGCCCCACATGCATCACTCCGCGCAGAGAATACTCTGAAAAGGATGGCCTGAATATACCAAAAGGTTATCAGACTCTCTCGGGATGCGAATGCATGCATAGAACCACGGCGTGAACGTGCCCTTCGGGGCTCTGTCTGCGTGCTGGCTGCGGAGTAGTGTCGTCGCAGGCATGCGGCGCCAGCTCTTCCTGTCCCTCCAGCGGGTGACCTTGTGAGTATTGGGGATGTTGGCCTGCGGTTGGGGCTGGGTGGATGGGCTACAGGGTGGCCCCGACCATGCTCACCCATGTGTCCCCTTTTCCTCCCACCCAAGCCTGAGGACGCTGCAGGGCGCCAGGAACCTGGAGGCAGCGGGCGCGGGCTGCAGAGCGTCAGAGGAGGGATCCTGGGACGTGCATGCCGTCCCACCCTGGGCCCGTGGCCTCTCTGGTAGCAGGCCTGCTCCGGCATCCAGGGCCAAGCCCCGCCGCCGGGCGCCACGCCCACCCACTCTCCCCAGCGCAGCTGCGCCTGTGAAGCCCGCCCCCGCGCGCCGCCCGCCCTCCAGGCAGCAGGACGGCGGCATCACAGGCGCGAGGCCGCCGGCGCACAGCGCCCCTGCCCCGCCCCGGCGACCTTCCCCCGAGGAGGTCTCCGCCGCCACCCGGCGCGTGGAGGCGGTGCTGGAGGGGTTGGGCCTCCGCCTCGCCGCCTGCGCGGCCGACCCCGAGCGCCAGCACGGCCTGCTGCTGGCGGCGCTGGGCGACGCGGAGCGTGCAGGGTCCGGCCTGGCCCCCGCCCACCTCCACGTCCTCCTCTCCGTCGGCCTGTGCCGGCTGGCGCAGCGCTGCTCGGGGGAACTCGACGTGCACAGCGTGGCTCGCCCCTACCTGGACATGTACATGCAGGCGCTGGCGGGGGCGCGGCGCGGCGGCGGGCCCCGCGCCGCGCCGCCGGGCCCGGGCCTGGGCCTGGACAGCCTGACGCGGCTGTGGGAGGCGCTGGCCGCCTGCAGCCACCCGGTGAGCCACCGCATGCTGGACCGCCTGGCCCGCCAGACCCTAGCCCTGCTGGTCACGGCGGGCACGCCCGATGCGGCGCGGGCGCTGGCCTGCGCCGCGCGCTACGCCTACGATCCGCTCCACGGCAGGCTCACGCAGGTGGGCTGGGGGGGGTGGGAGGAGGCGGTGTTGCGATTTGGAGGAGAATGGAGGATGCACGATGAGCTCGGCAGCAGGCGGATGAGGCCTGGCTTGCCCCGCCCGGTGGCAAGCAGCCTGGGGTGGTGCGGGGCTCCCGTGCCCGTTTGGGTGCCAACACTCCCTCACCGGAGCTGCGTCCTCGCAAATCAACAATGGCTCGCTCTTCATCCTCCCGTCAGCGCCCTCCCCCCTCCAACCCCCATTCCTCCCCCACCCCCCCACCCTGCAAAGGCCCTGACCGCGCACTTGGGCGCCGCGCCGCTGGCCAGCTTCACGCCGCAGAGCGTGCACGCAGTGCTGGGCGCTGGCGCGCGGACCGGCAAGCCGCTTGATCCCGGCCTGGTGGAGCATGCCGCGCTGGCCACGCTGTACCAGCTCCGCCACCACGCCGTGGGCCTGCTGGACCTGGGACGCAGCTGGAACCTGCTGCTGCGGCACGATCCCGACCCGCTCCAGGGCAGGGTGAGGCGGGGGGGTGTGCTGAGGGTTTCAAATGGTCAGGGGGGTGGGATATCATTCACTCCTTTGCTGGGCATTCATTCGCTCGGCCTTGGCCTTCCTTACGCCTCTCCGCGCACGGCCCCTTACACTCCTTCCACACCCACAAACACCACTCACTCTCGCAGCTGGCCAGGGCCGCGGCTGCAGAGGTGTGGCGCCAGCTGCCCGACGCCTCCTGCGAGGCCCTGGGCGAGGCGCTGAGCGCGCTGCACGCCACCCGGCAGCGCATGGGCGTGCCCACGCTGGAGGCCACCGCCGCGCGACTGCAGGAGCTGGACCCCGCGCGCTGCCCCCCGGACGACCTGGCCCGCTGCCTGTGGGCCTACGGCAAGCTGAGGTGGCACCTGGCGCCCTCCTCCACGCGCCAGGCCCGGCTCCTCAACCACCTGGCAGCCCGTGAGTGAAGTGAGAGGGGGCCTCTGACTGCTGCTGCCTGTGGTGGGCCCAGCACACCTCCTCCACAGGGTGCCAGAGCCTGTCACTGAGCGGCACATGCACTGCTCTACTGCCACGACACCCCGCCTGCACACCCTGACCCTGCAGGACCGGGAGAGTCGGTGGACGTGCAGGGCTTCGTCCACGCCCCCCCACTGAGCACCGGGACGCAGGGCGGCCAGCTGCAGGCGCTCGCACAGCATGCACAGCACGTGCACGACGACGACGGCACCCCGGACGCGTTCCTGGGTGGGCGGCTGCACAAGAACGGTGAGACTGATTGGGCATGGGTGGGGTACTCGCTTGCGTCGGGGGTGTTCGCTGAGGTGCCTCCCTGATTGCAGAGGCGGGGGGGGGGGGGTCAATCGTCGGGGGACTTTGGAAAGTGTGCCAAGCGCAGATGGGCAACTTCTCATCCGACAACGGCGCCTTCTCGCCAGGCACAGCCGCCGCCCTGACCTCGACACCGCCTCCCCTTGGCTTGCCTCGCCAAGCGGTACACCCCCTCCTCCCCCTCGCCCCTCCTGATAACCCCCTGGCCCCTCCACAGACGTGCTGCCGTGGGGAATGAGCCGGGACACCCCACTGCCCAGCGGCAGGACGCTGGGCCAGCTGGACGGCGACGAGGTGCGCGCTTTCCTCCAGCGCACCCACGACCTGCGAGTGCGCCAGGTGGCCAAGGTGGCGGGCGACACGGTGAGGGCGGCGGAGGAGATCATTGCCGCGGTCCGGCGCAAGTACAAGCTGAAGAAGGTGTGCGGGGGAGAGGGATGAACGAAGTGGGTATGTCGGTGCGGCGGGGTGATTGGATGGTCACACGCCATCAGGGGAGGAAGAAAATCAAGGAGCGCACATGAGCGGCCCCTTCCTTTGCCCCACCCTCAACATCCCCCTTTGCGCCGCCCAGGGCGGCCCAGCCGCCGTGCCGGCCTCCTCTGAGCCCAGCGCGCCCGAGACGCTCATCCTGGAGGACAGCGTGTGGGCCCTGGCCAACGCCATCGGCAGCGCCGCGCGGCGGCAGGGGCAGCTCCCACCGCGTGTGGAAAGAGTGTCGCACGACGAGTCCTGGCCATCCCGCACTGTCGTGGACCCCGTCACCGGGATCACGTCGACGGTGCCGCACTACACCCCGGCCATGCTGGAGTATCGGGAGGACTGGGTGCGCCCCGCCTGGCTGGACGAGCGGCTGCCGCCGGGGTCCGCCCCACGCGACCCCTGGAACCCCGGTGCGGGCAGGGAGGAGGGCCAGGGATCGTCGCCATCCCAGCAGGAGCGACTGCCACAGCTGCTGGAGGTCGAGACGGGGGAAGGGCCGGCGGGGGACGAGGGTGACGGTGCTGAGCTCAGCGCTGATTCGGCGACGGAAGGCGAGTCGCCGCCCGGTCTCCTGGGCGCCGCGGCCGCAGAAGATGATGATGAGGAGGAGGATGAGGAGGAAGATGAGGAGGAGGAGGAGGAGGAGGTTGTTGAGGACAGGACAGCTGCGAGTGGGAGGCGCGGTGTCCCCACCGCCCCAGACACAGGGCGGGAGGCCGCTCAGCCATCAAAGGCCCCGGGCCCCGGTGCGGCACCGCGCTCAGCCGCCTGGCGGCTGAATGCGGCGCAGGAACTGGTGACGCAGCACGACCTCGATCGGGTGGCGAACGAGGTCTGGGTCCGTTGGTTGCGTGCACCCCGCGCATCTCTGCAGGCCTGCTTCCAGTCCGTCACCCAGCAACGCGCCAATCTCAGCTGGAAGGTGAGGATGCGGGAAGCGGCTGGCAGAGGCGTCTGTGTCGGACGCGCCAGGCGCTGGAGAAGGAGGAGGACAGGCTGCTTGCCCTTTGGGAACGGGCCAGGTGGCGCAATGCTCATCTCTGGGGCGGTTGAGCGTTCCGCCCTCCCATCCATATCAGGCCATCAATCCCCGGTCTCATGCTCAGCACCGTACATGGACATGCAGGGCATCATGCACGCTCTGGAGGCCATGAGCATGCACTTTGTGGTGGACCGGCCGCTGCTGGCCTCCATCCAGGGCCGAATCTTGGAGGACCTGGGTTCTGTGGGTAACAATGTGAGGCGCTGAGAGGGCTTGGGCGTTGGTGGTGGGGCAGGGGGAAGGAGAGGGGACCCTGATTTCAGACTTTGGGGGCTGTTGTCAGTAGTTGCAAGGCCGAGGCAGATGAGTTCCTGCTGCTGCGAATAGCCCTGCTTGGGTATTCACCATGATCTTTCTGGCTGGGCTGACCATGGGTGGAGTTGCTCTTGGCAGACATTACAGCAAGGCCTAGTCCAACCAGCCTTCGCAGATGCGACGAATGGGGCTCTCTGCTTGCACTCTGGCGTGAACCTTTCCACAACATTCTGCGGTTTGGTGCCCACAAACAGGCCCTCTCCCTAAATCTTCCTACTTTCCCAGACGATCATCCGCTACCTGGTGACGTGTGCGGCCCTGCAGGAGTCGCCTGGTAAGCCCTTCCTCGACGCCGTGGCGGAGGAGGTGCTGGGGCGGCTGGAACGGCGCCAGGCCTCCCATAGCCACCTCATCATGGTGGCCTGGGCCATGGCCACGCTGGGCCAGCTCAGCGCGGCGCGCTTCGCGGAGTTCCTGCGCGCCGCCCCTGCTGCCACGGAGCCCAGCCACGTGGGGAACCACGGCCGCCTGCTGCAGATTGCGCTCTACCTGCAGGTGCGGGATGGAGTGGGAGCCTTTATTGAGGGGAAAGGGGCTTTCTGGCGTGCTGTGGGACCAGTGATGGTGCTCTTGAGTGGAATTATGGGCGAGGGCCGCCCAGGGCTGTATTTTCTGTGGTATTGTGGCTGGATGCGAGGTTGAAGGACATGAACGCAGGAGGCATCAATCACTCCGACACCATTTGGCCCTGCGTGGTTCAAGTGCCGGCAAACCTGCAGCAATTTGTAGGCACATTCTTGACAACCAGCCCCATCCACATCTCCTCCACCGGCCCCCTCTGCGCGCACCCACCTGGAACCCTCCACCCCACATGCAGATGGAGACGGGAAAGCACTACTCCACTTTCCTTCCCGCGGAGATTCTGGCGGTGGTGGAGGAGCGAGCCAGGGAGGACCAGCCCACGGTGTCGTACTTGCAGCAAGACATCCTGGTGAGAATTTGATGGGAGGGACTTGCATTCCACAGCACCGTTGCTGCCTCAGCATGATCCTTGTGCATATATTCAAGGAAGCATTGATGGCATAAGTCTCTTTCAATCCTACCCATGCCTGCTGCCCCTCTCGACCCTGAAGTCACCCACCCCACCCTTCGCAGAGTGCCCTGAATACGCTTGGCCTGGAATTCGAAATGGAGGCCAGGGCCGTGAACGGTCTGCTGTCAGTGGACTTTGCACGTGAGTCACCTGGGGGTGGGAAGATTGTAGTGTCCTACCTTTGGCGGCCTGTCTTGCATGGGGGGCTACATGGACCCAACAAGTCCTGGGCCTGACCAGGCGGCCCGCCCTCCCTTCCTACTCACACACACACGCATTGCGTCTCATCAACCACCACCGCCATCATCAACCCCACAGTGCAAGGGGAGCACACCAGCAGGAAGATTGCAGTCGAGGCAGATGGCCCGCTCCACTTTGCGCCCACCCCCCCGTACCAGCCCCTCTCTCACACCCTTTTCAGGGACAGGCTGCTGGAATACAATGGGTGAGGCGGGGGCTGGCTCAAGCGGCGTGTGCATGTGCATCAACCATTCGGCTTGCAGTGCAGGCTTGCCCTGACCACCTGACACCGGCCTCCTGCGGGACGAACTCGCAGCCTTTGTCCACGGCACTGTGATGGGCTCAGATGTCTGACCTCAGCATGTGTGCACGTCACAGGTGGACCGTCGTGAGCGTCCCTTTCTACGAGTGGAACCGGCTGAGGTCACTCACGCAGAAGCAGGCATACCTGAGAGAGAAGCTGGCACCAGCTGTGGAGGCAGGCTGACATCTGTGGTTGGGCCAGGGCCCCCACCATGTAGCCTTCACCCACCTCTATACGCCAGCACCGCACTTGCTTCTCTGTAAATGCATCCTCTCTGAATGATTGGGCGGCCCAACTCACCCATCCCTCCTCGTATGAACTGTCCCACTCCCGCACCATAGAGCAGTACTGAGGTTTCATGGTCACGGCTGGCGGAGGGTTCCCTCTACTGGAAAATCGGGAGACGCCAGCAAGGTGCGTCAGTCCTGTCTGTCACTGGTCGTCTTCAGCGTCATCAGGCGCGTGCGGCCTGTGAAAACGCCGTAATGGCGGCGCCGTCCTCGGCCGCCCTCGCCGCCGCCAGCGTGCCCCGCAGCCAGTCATTCACATACTCTGCCATGGCCGCCACCTGGTCCAACCAGAAGTGGTCGGCGCCGGCCCACACCCGGAGAAGGAGGGGCGCGGCGGCTGCGCCGCCGGGCGTGGGTGCGGGCGCGCCGCTGGTTCCAACCACCTGGAAGCTGTCGTCGTCCTCCAGCAGGCGCCCGCCTGCCTTGGTCAAGCTCTGCATCAGCTGCGCCTCACCGCTGAATTGGTCCTGGGGTCCGGAGGATGTAGACAACGTGTGTGACGGGGCAAGATTCACAGCCAGTCCAGGAGATCCAGAAAATAGTGTGGTAAGCTGTGCGGACGCAGCTGAGATCTGACATTGCTTCTGTTAGCATGTCTCCCCCCTCGCTGCATAGCCTCCAGCACTCTACAGCAAGGCCTCATACACAGCTGATGATCCCAGCGGCATCGCCACCGACCAAGAAGCTTATACTGCCCTACGGACCCCTCTCTTCCTCCTGAGCAGTCACCTGAGACCCGGTGATGAGCAGACGGGGGAGGTGGCGCGTCCCGCCCAGCTCCTCAAAGTGCCCTTTGGTGCCCAGGATCATGCTGAGACCGCTGAGGGGAAAGGAGACCCCAACGTATGCGGCGATGAGCGGGTGGCGCAGCGCATGCGCCGCCACGCAGCAGCCCCAGGAGTACCTTACCACCACCAGGCGCTTGTTTGTCCCCGGCGGGAGGGTCCCCGCCAGGTAATCCAGCACGTCCAGCACATCTTGGAAGTCGCCAGACCCCCGCGGCTGGCGGTAGCCCGTGGAGGCTCCCACGCCCCGCTGGTTGTATCGCAGGATGACTGATGTCCAGGAGCTTCGGCACAGGCACCTGTGTGTGAGGGGGAGGGGCTCGCTGGGTCGGGCTGCGGTCCCATGCCCTGACCTAGGGATGGTATTGGACAGCAGCTGGTGGGGCCTCGCACACAATGGTGGGGGCCGAAAGGACGGCTCGCCATAGGCTCAAACTGTGCGAACGACTTTTGAGAAGCTCACCCGAAGAGTTCTGTGACCACGGGGTCCCTCATACTTCCTGTGGGATGTGGAGATACATTGACGAAAGCCGGTGAACTCCGGCACGAAATCAAGAAGCACGGCGTCGAGCTGAAGAGGGGCATGACGCGAGACTTCGCGCCCTCAAATCCCAAATTGTCATCACTGGGGGTCAATGGGGCAGATCTCACCTCCTAGGTAGGCATATGGGTGGAGGACGAGCACCCCCACTCCGTGCAGGGAGGGCGTCTTCCGGTATATGTCCCCCTCCAGGGAGTGTCCACTTGAGACCTTGATCATCACTTGCTCCCTGCCCATGGTGTCTGAACGCATGTCTCTCCCGAGGCCTCGCGCCGGGTGCTGCAAGGCCGTTATGGGCAGGTGACACCGGTCTCGACTTCAAGTGGCCGGGCGCGCGCTCGGCCGGGGGCAGTACCCCTATAAGCACTTCCGAGCGCGCAGGTGGGGCACCAGATCCGAGCGGGCGTCATGCAAACGAGCTGGCGAGATGATTCAGAGACATACATATTCAATATTTGGAATCCATTTGCACCAAGTAGATTAAATATATATGTAAGCAGCCCCTGCCAAGACACGGCGGACTCCCAATGCTCCCGCAAGTGTTGCTCGTCGCGGGGAGGGAGGAGGGCCCCATCACCGTCTGGTGAGGGCGCGTGAATGTAGTACAGGCCCGCATGTGCTTAGATGCATGTATCGGATAGTTTCCAGTCCCCGCGTCTGTGCAGGGGACACCACCCCTCCAACCCGACCCAATACTGCCCACCAGGGACGTGGACACTGGCGCGGCGCTCACCAGCTACAAGTCCAGCGCCTGCACCGTGAATGGCCTGGCCCTGGTGGGGCGGGACCACTTCGTGGCCTGCCAGAGCTCCAAGGGCGCCGTGCACGCCTGGACCTGGTCCAACGACCAGGTCAGCGTGCGCAGCCACGCGCCGGAGCCGCTGCGCTGCCTGGCGGCCAGCCCCTGCGGCACCTTTGTGGCCGGGGGCGCCGCCTCCGGCGCCGTCCACCTCTGGTCCACGGGCTCCGGGCGCCTGCTGCGCAGCTGGCCCGCGCACTACAAGGCCGTGGCGGCGCTGTGCTGGAGCGCCGACGCCGCGCTGCTCTGCTCGGCCGGCGGCGACGGCGTGGTGTCGGCCTGGCTCGTGGCGGCCGCCGCCGACCCTGCCGCGGCGCCGGGCGCGGCGCCGGAGCCCTGGCAGTCCTGGGCCAGCCACACGCTGGGGGTCACCGCGCTGGCGCTGGACGCCTGCGACGCCATCCTCGTCAGCGTCGGCCTGGACCGGGCCCTAGTGGTGGCCAGCCTGGTGGGGGACCGGCCCGTGCTGGCCCGCCACGCCCTGCCCAGCCCCCTGCACAGCCTGGCGCTCGACCCCGGGGGCCATGCCGCGTATGCGGGGGCCGTCAACGGCGCCGTGTACGAGGTCAGCCTGGCGGGAGGCGCCCAGGGCGCAGAGTTTCCCGTGCTGGAGGGACACAGCCTGCCGGTGGTGGCGCTGGCCTTTGCGGGCCCCGACGCCGGCACGCTCATCTCAGGTGGGGGCGTGGGATCATCCTTGTGGGTTCGAGTCAGGATGGGGAGTGTGGGGGTGCGTTCTTGGGCTGTCACTGGAAGTTGCTGTGCACGCCGCCACGCGTCTCTGTGCAGCCAGTCGGATGCCGCGTCAGTCCCCACCGCCAACCCTCCCCGCTCCATCACCTCCCCGCTCCCTTGCAGGCTCCGAGGACGGAGGGGTGAGGTTCTGGGACCTGCGCACCAGGCAGCAGACACGGGTATTGGAGACTCCCGCCAAGGGCCCCGTCGCCGCCTTGGTCACCCTGGACCGGCCGCGCGCCATGCAGGTGCTGGGGTCTCGGGGCCGGCAGCAGCAGGGCGTGAAGAAGGAGACGGGGACGCAGCCGCTGGAGGCACTGGCCAAGTTCCCGGGCGCGCCGGGCACGCTGCGGCCCTGGGAGGACGCGCTGGTTCTCCTGGACGGCAGCGGGGTGGAGGCATTCGACGAGGCCGCCGCCGGCTGTGCTCAGGAGAGCGGGGACAGCCTCGTCCCTGGGGGCGCCGCAAATCGGGTGGGAGCTGTGCGGGAGAGCGACGCCGCCCCGCTGGCCGATGGAGCAGCAGCGCCGGCTGCAGAGGACAACGAGTCCGGCGCCCTGGTGGCACTTAGGGAGGAGAACGCCGGCCTCAAGCTGCAGCTGGCAAGGGCGGCAGCGGCGCTCGAGCAAATGGTGGCCATGCAGGGCGCGCCCGCTGAGAGACCGCGCAGCAAGGGCTAGGGGGGAGGTCATGCCTGTGGTGAGGGAGGACTTCTGTGTGCCCCCGCCCTGGATTTGCAAAGTGCTCAAGCTGCATCAATCATCCTGAGCATGTAGCTTGAATCTGCAAACCCTGTTCTCAGCCTCCCTCTCTGATTGGCCAAATGTACACTGAATAAAAAAGGTGGTCACGTTAGGGGTTGTTGGGCAGTGCACGAAGGCTGCAATGTTGGAAGAATTGCGAGGTCTCACTCCGAGGGGGCCATGGCGCTGATGGTGGCGCCCACCAGATTCTGCACGTACGCCAGCTGCTGCGACAGCTTCTTCACTGCGTCCTGGGGTGCCTGGGGACGGTAGGGAGGCGTGCGGGACTGAGGTTTGGATGCAGAGGGCGGGGATCGCGATGACCACCGTTGCTGCCAGGCCCCAGTCTGGTCTGCCGCCGCACCACGATGCACGTCCAGCCTACGCCCTGCCAGGAAGCAGCCCGTCGCCAAGCTCTCCCGCCGCCTTCCGCCGCCTTCCTGTCCTCCCTGTCCCACCCCCATCGCACCTCGGCGTTCAGACCGCCGGAGCGCAGGGAGCGCTCGGCGTCCGCCACGACCACCGCCACCTTCTCCTGCAGGATGGAGCGCAGCGCACTCCGCTCCCGCCGCAGTGCCTCCAGCTTGGTCTGCAGGAGGGTGGGGGTGTCTGGCGGCAATTTGGTGGCCGACGCCGGGCGCGCCGCAGGGCTGTCGGTGCCGGGAATGCCTGCCGCTGGCGAGGCCAGCACCTCGGCCCTCCTGGCAGACGGGGCAGGGTCCGGTGCGGGCGACTGCGATGCTGTGTCTGAGGTGCGGCCGTCGCCGTCGGGCCCGGCGTCGCCCTGTGCGTGGTTGGTGGCATTGGGATGTAGATTCATACTGTGAAGGAAAGCGTCGGTGCGACCCCATGCTGTCGACCAGGAGCAGGGACAGGCTGGCGCCGCCAGTACAGGGCAGCCTCCTGGTGCGGCGCGGGTCGAAAATACACACGATCTGCAGTCGCCGTCGCACCACCACTCGCCGACGGCTGGGGCCACCCCGCAATACAAGTCTCAACCTCCCTTCTGCCTCGTCCCACACCACCCACCTGCGAGCTCGCGCCGCGGCCATTCACGCTGCTGCCGGCCTCGCTGGAGGTGTCGGTGTGGGGGCCGAGGAGCATGGGCCCGGGCTGGCGCTCCTCGTGCCCAGCGCCGATCCTGATTGCGGGGGAGGGGGATGGAGGGGGGAGGGTTGTGGGGGCGAGGTCTCCCACGCGGCTCCGCTTGCGGGTTCCATGGCAGGTGTGACGCATGGGCGCCCAGGGAAGGGCGCCAGGCCCTGCTCTCCAGCGCCTGAACGGCCCACCGCCACCCACTTCAACACGCCAGGACCGCCCGACACCTGACGGCAGGGATGCGCCACAGCGAGGTGTGCTCCAGCGCGGCGTCGGCGGCGGAACCCTGCGGGGCGCCGCCGCCGCTTGCCGCCCCGTCCAGGCCCTCGGTCGCACCCTCCTCGGTCTCGCCCTCCTCCGCAGGCCCCCCCTGCGTCGCTGCATCAGCCGCCGCCTCGGTGGCCGCCCGGCGCATGCCCAGCATCTCGGCGGTCCGAGCGTCCAGGCCATCCTCCAGCTCCCTGAGACGAGCCAGGAGGGGGACGGAGGATGCCTGGTCGATAGGGCGTCCACGGTCTCCACAGCGCCACATGAGCAGAGCGACCCCTCGGGGAGCCATCAGCTCAGCGCCCCGCGCCGGCCTGCCACAACCCTGCTCAACCGCTCACACACACGCACGCACACCTCTGCCGCGCCAGCGCCGCGTCCAGCTTCCCCTGCAGGGCCAGCACCTGGCCGTCGCGCTCGCCCAGACGCTGAGTCAGCGCGGTCATGATGTCTCGCTGCTTGCACAGCAGCACGCGGTATCGCTCGACCTGGGGGCGGGTGGAATGTGTCCCAGGGATGGTGAGGGTGGGGGTGCGAGTCCCGGTCTGCAGCGCCGGGCAGGCACGTTGGGTTTGACAGAGTGTCGCATGCAGTGTGGCGCCCCGCCAGCGCCGTGCGCGGGCGGCTCAGAGCGATGGCAGGCCCAGAACAGCACCCCACCGACCCTCGGCCCATCCACCGTCATCCCACCCGGGCCATGCTCTCTCAAACAATTCTCCCGCTGGCGGGACTCCCTCCGCTCCCCCTCCCAGCACACCTGGGCGTGCCCCTCGGCCATGACCTCGCGCTCCGCCTCCAGCTCCGCCAGGCGCGCTTGGTACTGGCCCCGGATCCGGTCCTGCTCTGCGGCCAGCAGCTGGCGGAACTGGGGCGTGTCCTCCACGCGGTGCCCCCCCACCAGCAGCTGGGACTGCATGAGGGAGATGCGGCCCTGCAGCGCCGCCATGGCCGCCTTGTGCCGCATGATCTCCGCGCTCTGACGCTCCAGCGCCGAGATGGCCGCCAGCTTGTCCGCCTGCTCGCGCCGGCGCGCCGCGTCCAGCTGCACGTGTCGGATCGATTTTGCGTGGAGTGCCGAGGCTGGGCATCAGTGTCCCGGGGATGCGCTCCGCCCCCCGGACACAGGCGCCGGCGGCGTGCAGGGCGCCGGCCCTGGGGCCCTCCTGCGCTGACCCGGTGATGGCATGGCGATCCTCTCCACCCCTGCCCCCCCCGGCATCCACTCACCTCCAGGAGCAGGCGCTTGTCCACCAGGTCCTTGGACTTTTGCTGGAGCTCGGCGCGCAGCCTGCGCAGCTCCAGCTCGTACTTCCTCAGCAGCGTCCGGTGGTCCAGGTCCTCGTTCACCGTCGGCGCATTCCTCACGTTCTTCGCCCGGTTGGCAAACTTGAGCGTGGACAGCGACTCTGTGCGGTGCAGGGCGCCGGTCGGGGTGGAGGGAGATGGGGTGTGTGGGCGTGACGTCGGACGATTCACACCGACAAACCCTGGGTGCACACTTCACGCTCGAACACGCCCCTCCCCGCCGCGTCCCCGACCTGAGTAGGCCTCCACCGCCGGGCTGATCATGGCCAGGAAGGTGGTCTTGCAATTGCCGCCCAAGGAGTCCTCCAGGATCCTCGTCAGCTTGCTGTCCCTGTGAGGGCAGGGAGGGGGCAGGGTCAGACGCCTCATGGTGTGGGGCTGCACCGGAGCGTGGGCGGGTCGGGAGGGCTGCCTGGCTCGTGAGTGGAGCAGAGCGCGCAGCCCCGCGAGATCCCCCCCTCCCTCGGCACTCCCCCGGCCGGGCGGTGCTCCCGCGCCTCCGCACCCCTCGTCCACCCCTCGTCCACCACCCGGTGCCCCTCGTCCCAGCAGCACCCTTCTCCACCGCCATTCCTCCGACACCCCCACCCGCCGGGGCGCAGCCTCCAACCCCCCCCACCCACCTGTAGGGCACGTGGGGCTTTCCCTCGCGCCCTGCGCGCGCGCCGCCCGCCAGCGCGGAGATGACGTTGCCCAGCGTGGACAGGCTCTGGTTGATCTTCTTGCTCTCCTCCAGGCGCTGCCCCGTGGCCCCCGTCACGTGCACGCGCTCGCTGCCGGCCAGGTCCACCAGGTTCAGCTTGCCCACGCGCACCGTCTGACGCAGGGCGGGCCCCGTGCCGGGCACGCCGGCCAGCTCCATGGCGGCCGCCAGGCCGGCGGCCGAGGCGCCGCCTGGGCCGTCGTCCAGCAGCACCGCCTTCTCCACCGTCAGCATGAAGATGGCGTGGGAGCGGGAGCTGGCCTCGTTCAGCTTGGTGGCCCCCGTCGTGCGCCCCGCGGCGCCCTTGCGCATCAGCATGAACACCTGGCGTGCGGGGCGGGGGGTCAGCATCCCCGGCAGGGCCAGGGGCAGGGCATGCGGCGCGGGAAGACAGGGGCACAGGCAGGCCACGGGGCGTGCCCGGCAGGACAGCCCCTCTTCCGCACCAGGCCTCGCCGGCATCCGCCGGCCCCCACCATGCCCTGCGCGGCCAGGAGGAGCCGCACCCGATCCCCGGCCCCCCGACGCCGGCCCCCGCACGCCCCACCTCGCCCGGGCTGCGCACAACCCACTCGGAGAGGCCCTCCACATGCACGCCGCGTCGCCGGTCCTCCCGAACCCCCAGGTTCCCGGGGCCGGGCTTGAGCAGGTCCGATATGACCTGCAGGCATGGGTTGAGGGGGTGAGATGTGCGCCTGGATGGTACCCCAGCCACCACCTGCCCCCCTCGCCAGCCACACCGTCGACGTGCCACCTCACTCCTCCCATCCTTTGCCCAAGGCAGACCCGCCCGCCCTCCCCCCTCCCACACCTCGTTGTAGATCTGGAGGTAGGAGGCCCGCACAAGGAAGCGGCAGCGCTCCCCCGTGTCCCGCGCGATGCTGGAGAAGACGTCCTGGATGGCGCGGGGGATGATGCCAGACCGGTCGCTGCCCTCCTCCCCCTCCATCGTGAAGGTCTTCCCCGTCCCCGTCTGGCCGTAGGCGATGATGGACGCGTTGTAGCCCTGAGCGGGGGAGGCACGTGTGAGGGCGGGGGGGGGGGGGGTTGGG